CCCCAGCCTGGCTGCCCCTTCAGGGACTTGACGGCCTGTCCTGGGTGCTCAGACAGTGGGGCAGGCAGGGGGCAGCATATGCCTGGTCTTGGGTTCCCATTTCTGCCCAGGCTCTTGGCAAAGCCCCCTGGTTCTGGCCGGTGTGGGTTTCAGCAGGCCTGGGGCCCCTTTGAAGTGGGGAGATCCAATCCCCCAGACCCTGGCCTGCCCCCAGGAACTCCAGGAGTGCAGGCGTCTCCTTTTCACTCAGAAACACCACCTGGCCCCAGCCTCTGGGTAACTCAAGCCCTTGGTGGTGCTGGCTGGCTCCAGCTGGGTATGGGTGGCAGCTAGTGGTGAGGGGTGTCCCGCTGCAGGCCTGGGCCCCTGCCCTCCGGTGCCCCCTCCCCATGGACCCCAGGCTGCAGCAGAGTCCAGGCTCTGCTCCTGACCCTCTGCCCTCACCTCTCCTTTCAACCTGCCCCATTTCAGCTATGGCCTCTCGTCCTTGATCTGGGCCCTCCTGCCCACTCCTGCCCACTCCCCCAGACCCTCTCAGGCCTTTTTCTAAGCAGTGCCCCTGCGCAGATGCCCCCGCCTTCTCCCCCACCTTCCCAATTCCCACTCACTTCTAAAGGGAGACCATTGGCAGGGGGGTCAGCTCGGCCCAGACTTGAGTCCTGGCTCTAGCACTTCTGGCTAGAAAATGGGATGACCACAGCTCTGGCCTCAAAGGCTTGTGGCTGGGAGGCTGGACGTAACCGCACACTAAGCCTGCAGACGCTGACTCTGAATGCAGTCACTGCTCCTCCAGACTCCTCTACGGCCTGCCTCTTCCAAGAAGCCCTTTCAGTTATGTGTGTGTCCACCGGTGAAGCAGGAATGATTTTGGGAGCCCTCGGCAGGGGGCTGTCCCCCAACATTGGGTGTCTGGGCAGCTCAGCACAGATGGCCCTGCTGGGTCAGAGCTTTCTGCTCCACCACCCCCCTCGCCGCCAAGGCTCCCTGGGTCCTCCGGCCTCAGTTTCCTCCACTCTAGACGAGGGGCTGGGCTGCTGACCCCTCAGGCCGCCCATCTTCTGTGACTTGGGACCTCTGGCCGGCAATAGACCTGGTTCTGGCCCTGCAGTCTCCTCGGTCTCCCTGCTGCCGACCTGCCCAGATGTGGGTGTGTTTAACTTCCCCGTTAGAATGTCTGTCTTATCAGGGTGGGGCCACACCTTCTAAACAGGCAGCAACCTGGCCTTCTGGTTTCCACCTGTGAGGGGCGAGGCCCACGGTGAGGTGGGGTAGAGGCGTCTGCCCCTTCGTCCCCTTGTCCTGTCTTGGCCATGTCCCTGGCCCCCAGTGCCTTTGGGAAGTGGTCAGCATTGGGCGAGGTTGTGAGGGTAGGCTGCACGCTTGCTCCATCCTGGCCTTGGCCTGGCGGCGCCCGTGTGGCCTCTGCTGGCCGGGCACTGGGTGACCGGACGGGCATGGGGAGCAGATGTGGGCGGGGGCAGGCTGGGCAGCTGTCCCCTCTCCTGTATCATCTGTCCCTCCCTGAGGAGCTGGCAGCTTTAGGGGATGGTGCAGAGGCAACGGCAGGGACCACAGAGGACCGTGTGGACACCACCTTGACCTCATGGCCCCGCTTCGTGGCCAGCACTCACTCCTGTTACAGGTGGGAACAGAGGCTTGGAGAGGGGATCGGTCCCCATGGGGTGAGGGCAGCACGGCGTGACGCCTTTTGGGACGGAGCTTGCAGTGGCCGGTCGTGACCAGGGCAGAGGGAGGGAGCAGGGTCTGGCTGAGGGTAGCGGGCACAGGGGTCTGAGAAGCCCCTCCGAGGAGGTGACCCTCGGCCATGTGTGGCCAGGCCTTGGGTAAGGGTCCCTCAGGTACGGTGTGGGGGATGGGTCCCCTGGCCAGGAGGCGTGGTGGAACTGGGTTGGTGAGCAGGCTGTCGAGGGTGCAGCCACCGGGGGTCTTACTGGCGGATCAGGGATGCCATGGACACACACCCCCTAGGCCCACCGCCCCCCCCATCCTAGACACCGATCAGGAGGCGAGACGTAGGTGCTGCTAGGTAGACCAGGCTGTGATGGGCAGCCAGGCTCCAGCCTGACCAGGTGTGGATGGGGAAACTGAGGGTCCCAGGAGACTGGCCTGTCTAAGGCAGAGCCTGGAGTAGGACCCTGCCCCCCACCCTGGCATCCCCTTCCACCCTCTGCCACCCCCAGACACAATGCTCCCCTGGGAGGCACCAACCTGGGCCCCTTTATAGACCCCTGCCTGCCTCTGGCTGCCTGTCCAGGCCAAGTGCCCTGAGCTGTGCCTCCCTAGACACTGGCCCTGCTGCCTGGCCACCCTGTGCCTGCGCCACTGCTGGCCCGTGGCTTGGACCAGCACCCCCCCACCCCAAACCCCTTCGCCAGCCTGCTCCCTTATGGACACCCTGCATGCCAGCTCAACCGGATCATCTCCGCTCCAGGTCATCCCTGACTAGTGTGGCTGGAAAAGCATGAGGGGCACAGCCTTGGGCACCACCCCATGACTGCCCCTCACCAGCCTCCCCCACTGGCTGCTCTCTTGTTCCCCCTCCATGCCCAGCCCAGCTCCCTTCCCAGCCAGCTCCACGACGGGCTCCAAATCCTGGCCAGCGAGCGGAGCAGGGTGGCCGGCCCAGATGAGGCGGGGTCTCGGTCGGCACAGCCCACACTGAGGGGCTGCCGTGGCGGCTCCTTGTGACATTTATTTTACAAACATTCCCCTTTCCTTTTGCTTCAAAAGCTGCCGCTTTGCTTAAAAACTATCTGTTACCCGAGCACTCAGATAAACCTTAGCAGGTAAAATTATATCTGAGATATGGCCCGAGGGTCTGTTTAAGAATCCTGGGCAAATTATCAGCTGCATTTATCTTAATTACTTTGGGGGAAAGTGGAGGCTGGTGTTGGATGGGACTGGGAAGCGGGGGTGCGTTCCACCTTATCGGGGTGCATATTTGAGATCCTTTAACAGGAGGCAGATAAGAGGAGCACGTGGGGAGAAAACGATGTCTTCACAATTGACAGGGAGGAGGCCGCGGGGCTGCCAGGGGTTTGTGCTGAAAGGCGGGACCCATTGCCCACGGAAGCCGCGAATGCCTCCATCCCTCCTGTTCCTCTGAGACCCATATTTGGGGGATGTGAAAAGGCTCCCGACTTAGTTCTTGGCTGATTCCTCCTAGAACAAGTCCCACAGCCTGCTGACACCACATGGCCGCACTCTGGACATGACGCAGAACTAGGACCTTAACTCTGACAGTGCTGGGAGCCCTGGAAGTCCAAGCAGGCCCTTGAAGGAGGATGGAGCAGGGGGTGCAGAACGATTTGGGGCAGGGTGGACGCAGGAAGAGATGAGGGCTATCTGTCCACGCCTGGCTCTGCTCGAGAAGCCGCGCCCTGGCCTCAGCCGCCAGACCGCAGCGCCTCATCTGGCGCATCCCAAGGGCCTGTGTGGATATGGACGTGCTTGCTGGCGCAGCTGACCGCCTGGCTTCAGGAGAGCCGCCGGATCAAAGGTGATTCTGGGCCTGGCCACCACTCCCAGGAAGGGCTACCCCTGGCACCTGTGCTGACTGGTGCTCTTTGGACACCAGCAGTTTTCCAAGGACCTCGGTGCCCAAACAGCAGGATGGGAGGGACCACACCGGCCCACAGGCTGAGCAGGGAAGGGCCAGAGACTCAAGAGGAAGACAGGTGCATGGTCTGCACAGGTCAGGACACTGGGACCCAGGCAGGAGCCCTCAGCACTGCCCAGGGCCATGGGGGATCTCGTGCCATCATCCCTGAGCGCCTGCTTCAGTGCCCACCTGTCGAGGGGGCTACACAGGCTGCCTGGACCCTCCCCCCCCCCCGCCCTCTGCTCTCATCTGCCACCACCTCCCTGGTACCTACTCACCCCTGCCACCCTCTGTGCTGCCGCATGTCAGGCGGCTCCTGCTTAGACCCCTGCACGGGCTGGGCCCTTGGAGGTGTCTCTCCTTCCCTCCTTCTGGTCCAGCTCCAAGGCCACCTGCGCCAGGAAGCCTCTGCCCCGAGGCCCATCTGTCAGTCTCTTGGGGAACACGCTTTCCCCCTGCCATTTGCCTCGGACACACCACACGCCTTCGCAAGCAGGCTGCCCGATGGGTGCCCAGATCATGCTGCTCAGGCCCCACTGTCTGCCCCTCTGCAAACCCCCCCGGGAGACCAGCCCGGCAGCAGAGGAGCTGGGTCTGCCCAGCCCGCCAGCTGACCTCGCCAGGCACCTCCGGGAGCGCTACGGTCGCTGTTAGGGGGCGCGCCCCCACCCACCTAAGCACAATGTCACGGAACAGGACGAAACACGCATTGGGGACTTTGGGGCCCAGGCTTCACCTGGGGCTCAGGGTCTGGGGGGCCACCAGGGGGTGTGCAGGACACATAGCTGCACACGCGTGGGCCCATGGGCACCCACAGGCAGGTGAGTCCACAGACATGGGGACACACACCCTCACATACAGATTTGCACACACGCATGAATGTATGCACACATGCACATGCTCACACTACACACATGCCCCCACACCCCTCCCAGGGTTGTGCAGGGCTGCCCGCTCTCTGCCTCTGGCTGCATTTCTAGATGGGGCCTCGGGATGTTCTGTGTGCAGCAGCCAGCAGATGAGGAGTTGCTGGGGGGAGGCAGGTGTGGGGGTGCACAGACAGCGCCCTTGGGCTCCCCATCTCTCCACATAGTGCCCGGGTCCAGGAATGTTTGTTGGTGAGGCTGATGTTTTAGGAGCAGGTCTTACACCCTAGAAGTTAAGTGTACCAAGCTCTGCCCAGGGAACTCTGGTTGCCCCTTGCCTGGCCTTGGAGGGTCTCTCCCCCCACCCCACCGCTGACAGGACTGCCGGGGTCCCATCTGCAGGAGCATACTGGGGCTCAGTGGCCCCGGGAAACCCCCACCCAAGTCCCAGGTGAATGGAGTGAGCGCCGACCATCCCAGAGCCAAGAGGCAGCTCGTCCAGGCCAGGCTGCTCAGGGCAGGGAGGGCGGTGGGGCTGCAAGCACAAGAGACAGTGGCTGGGGCTCCACGGAGGCCACCTTGAAAGCCATGCTGAATGGGGCACTTTCTTCAGAGGGACCTGGGGGCAGCTTGGTTCTGGAACTCCACACGAGCACCCCTGGGAGCACCTCGCGCAGGGAGCTCCTTGCACAAGTTGGGAATGGCAGCTCAGAGAGGGGGGAGCTTGCCCAAGGACACACAGCAGCAGAGACTGGGAGGGCAGCAGCCCAGTGACACTCCAATCAGCTGGTAACAGAAGCTGGGGGCCAGAGGAGGCCCAGCTCCTGGCCTCCCAGAGAAGGGAAAGGCGACATCACTCCGAATGGGGTGTAGTGGTTCTGAAAAAGCCCCTGCAGCTCCCGGGCCTGCCATTGTCCTGGAGCCCGGGGTCACGGCCAGGCTGGGACATTCTGGAGGTTGAAGGGTGTTCAAGGCTCTGGGCACTTTTCATTTTGTAGGAAAGGTTGTCTCCATCCTTGCCTCCAATCGACTCTCCAATCATCCACATGTGACTCTTGGTTATAAACATTGGAAGTCCTCTGTCAACCTGTGACGCAGAGTCCGCGGGCACTGTCATTACAGCGCCGGTGCCTGGAGGGGCTCTGTCCACACCCTCTCCTTTCCACAGCCCTCACATGAGAGACGGGCTTCCAGAACTCTGCTGTTCAGGGTGGGTCAAGGACCGGCATCCAGAGGCCGAGTCTTGGTCTGAACCCTGGGCTGGGGCCAGAGTGTGCCTCGGAAGCTTGGACACCCTGTGACCCTGACGTGTGACAGAGAGCAGGGACCAGGCTGCAGAGGGGGGCTGGGACCCTGGAATGCATCGGGCCTGTTTTGTATGTTCCATGGGCCTCCCTGGGCCGGGCTTGTTCCTGGCTCTTCCAGGCCTCGGGACAGGGCGCCCCAGGCCATCATCTCACCTGCCAGCCAGCCTGGGGTGGAGTATACATCAGACCCATTTTACAGGAGAGGAGGCTGAGGCTGAGGGAAGTAAATGAACTGGGACACAACCTTGGAATTCCCACCCTGTGCCTGAGACCCCCAAACAGGGCTTGGAAGCCTTCTGGCTTTTGGAAGCAACCATGTCGCCCCACACGGGGCCTTCCCGTGAGAAACAGGGGCCTGCGGAGAGGTCACTGTGCTTGGCGGGGATGCAGGGATGGCGGGCTTTAACGAGCTGTCTCCTGGGTGACAAGATTAATGAGCTTCCTCGGCAGCGTTAATTACTGTCCTGTCAAGTTCAGAATCCTATCAGCCTCCTTTCTCAATTAAAAGTGATTATGATTTCATTCCTCAGAACCAGAGGGTGAGTGAAGCCCACTGGGCAGCAGCCAGGTGGGGGGCCCTGGACAGGTGGGGATCTGCTGCATCGGGGGTGGTGCGGGGCCGTGTGTCAGGTGAGGTACCCCGGGCAATCGGTCCAGTGAGATGCCTGCTGCCCGCTGGGCTCATGGCCCCACCGCTGGGAAGCAGGCAGGCACTCAACCCAATTTACAGATGAGGAAATCGAGACTTGGCATGTGGGGGCCTCGGCTCCTCCATGCTGAGGGATGGGTGCTCTGCTCCGGCCACTTCCAAGCTCTGCCCACTCTCCTGTTGCCTTATCATCTGCAGACAAGCCAGGCTGTGTCCTGAGAGGACCTGGGGGGCTGGAGTCCCGCTGCGGGTCCCAGCTGCTCCAGGGGCTTCCTCGGTGGCGAGGGACGTCTGCCATTGTCCTGGTGCCTAGATGGGACCAGCCATGCCCACGCGGCTGGCAGTGGCCCGGGAAAGGACAATCCCCTCACGTTCCCGCGAGCCTGTCCTCTGACAGCGCGGCCTTGGCCGTCTCTGGGCAGCTGGGCTCCAAGCGCTTGGCCGAGCTCTGCCCTGGCCAGCCGGACCCGGCTGACCAAGCCCCTCTGAGAAGCCTCCCCCCGGGTGCCCTCGCTGTGGTGGGTGATCAGAGCTCAGAAGGGACCGATCGGGGTGGCTGTGGGCCTCTGGCTGCAGCGGCTTGGCACCACGGAGCCCCTGGTCCCAGGGGCGGGAGGCTGCCCTCCCTGAGGGCATCTGTGGGGCTTGGCTGTTCCAGAGGGTGGAGGGCAGGAGGGAGACGTGGCCCTGCAGGCCCCCAGCCTCCCACTGCAGCCATGGGGCCTTCTGTCCTGCTCCCTCACAGGCCCTGACCCACCTGAGGGCCTTGTCACTACCACTGTCGGTCCGTCTCCCGGGAGTCGCCGCCTGGCCAGCTCATTCCCCACCCGGCATCACACCTGCACTCTGGGGGCCCCAGGCTCCTCCGGCGGAGGGGCAGGGGAGGAACACAAGCTTCCTTTTCATTATCCCCGCCAGGCCAGCCACATCTGTTCCTGGCTCCTGAGGCCCACTCCGCAGGTGCCCATGTGTGGGGAGCACTCAGCATGCTGGGGTGAAGCGTGGGCACTGGGGAGCCATGGAGCATCAGACTCCAAGGCTTCTGGCGGGAATGAATGCCGGCAGGGGAACCAGGCAGGGAGCCCCTTCCTTCCTCCCTGCAACCCTTGGGACTGACGGTCGAGGGGCACGAGGTGTGACAAGTGCAGGGAACCAGAGGCCCCGGCGTCTGAGGCTGAGGGGCCTGGCAGCTCCTCCTCAGCCTCAGGCTGTTTCCCCGTCCATGACTTGTGCTGCCCTGCCTGAGCTCAGGGTCCCCGCCTCGCCAAGACCCCCTGCACCCACCCTGCCAGCCCTCCCCTGGTGGCCCCTGTCACCTCCCCTCCTAGAACATGGTGGGGGTGGGGCAGGGGGCAGGACCAGGGTCCCTCCCCAGCCTGTTTGTCCCCAGAGCGCACCCAGGGCCGGCTGCAGGGGGCACCGCTGTCCACAGAAGGGAAGGCTGAGGCCACAGAGCCAGAGGCAGCGCTGGCCGGAGCCGCGCCAGCACCAAGCCACCCGCCCCTGCCTGGGCACGACACCCTGGGGCAACCTCGCCCAGAGCTGGGCAGGGAGGCCCTGTCTCGCACCCACCAGTTCTGCACAGAAGGGGCAGCTGAGACCCCGAGGGTGGGCGCACAGCCAGGGGTTGTGGAGCAGGGGCTGCAGGCCGATGGGACAGGCACTCACTCACACGACTCGGTGCTGAAACACAGGGCTGCCGGCCGGCCCCCGCGGGCAGCGAAGGCCCTTCCCAGAAGGCGCGGTCCCAGCTTCTCATTTACGGCTGCTCCCTCGCTCAGCGCCTGCTGTCCTGTCCGCACCCCCCCGAGGGTGGAGAAAGGGAAGGGGGGCTTCAGGGGGAGCCCTCTGGGTCTGTCCCCTGCTCCTGTCTTGCCCCTCCCCAGGTCGGGCAGTCCCTGGGCTCACCTGGCTGTGTGCGATTCACCACTCAGTCCCATCCTCTCGGACACACTGTGGATTCGGCTGTTTCTCCCCTTGGACTGAGCTTTTCCTTAGTATAAGCATTTCCGTGCCCTGGAGCCAAGCACCCTGCCCGCATCAACATGTGTTTCTTCGTGGAGGGGAAGAGGCCAGACCACCGGCACCCACTCTCCTCCCCGTGGACGGGTCCATGGCTGCAGGAGCGCCTGGCACCCATCCTGCCTGCCCCGCCCGCCGGGCAGCTGCTCAGCCAGGAAATCCAGCACAGAGGCAGCCCTCTGATTTTTCAGGAAAAGCCAGAAATCCAGGTTTTAAAGTGAAATCTCCCCATTTTAAAACTTTGGCAGCAAATTCACCTAAGACAAAATAAGTACTGTGGGCTGAAGCGGCTGGGGATACTGGGGCTGTGGTTGGTCTGCCGTGACCTTCCTGTGGGTGGAGGCCCCCCCAGGCTGTGCCCTCAGTGGGGGGATGGGTTCGGTCACCAGCTCCCTCACTCATTCATCTGTGGCCAGGCTCCCCACCAGGCGCCAGGACAGTACTGTGGACAGAAAGGATGGACACCGTGCCCCTCCATGTCCCTCCTAGGGGGCCGGGTTTAGGGTGCTCAGGATGTGAACTCAGGTCTCCTGATGCCACGTCTGGTGAAGGCCTGCGGTGCCCTGGAAAGTTCTAGGATTGCTGGAACCCCTGATGGAGGGGGAAAGCCCTGCACTGGCAAAGTGGGGGTCAGAGAGGTTAGGCCCTGTGCCCCAGGTCACACAGCAGGCTGCAGAGAGGGCCAGCCGGGGGAGGCTCTGCAGACCGAGGGCAAGCTGAGCACTGTGGCCTGAGGGAGGGTGGGGGTGTGCCAGGCCCGCACCCGGGCATCTTCCTGGCCTGAGGCTGGCCTAGGTTCCAGGAGGGACAGACGTGTTCAGGTTCCCCTCCTGGGTAGGAGGCGCCAGCGGCTGTCACCCGACCGCCCACCACAAGCACCCAGGGTGGCCCTTTCCAGACCCGCTGCTGGCGGCTGCCTGTAAGGGTGCGGTTCCTCCCCGGGGAAGGCAGGGCTGGCTGGTGTAGGGGTCTGCTCAGTCTCCAGGACACTGGGGGTGGGGGGGCTGGTCTGAAGTTCTGGATGACACAGTGGTCCTGTCCAGCTGTGTGACAAGAAGGGGACCTTCATCCTCATTGCAGATGGGCCGGGAGGGGCTGGGACACTTGCCCGTGAACACACAGCTGACAGGCCGCAGGCTGGGAGACCTGGGCTGGTCTCCATCTGGCTGCATCCCTGGTGCCCCTCTCTCACTGTACCAGGCGACCATCTCCTGTCTGCAATGCTCTGTCCCCAGCTTCCCTGGGGCCTCTCGCACTTCCCTCTCCCCAGAGCAGCCAGGGGCTCTTTCCAAGCACAGATGGGGGCCATATCCCCCTTTGCAAATGCTCCACAGCTTTGCTGGTATTGGAATCAAGTCCCATCCTGGCTGTGAGCCCCTGGACTGTCGGGGTCCTGCCTCCTGGGCCTTCTAGAATGCCTTGGGGCCTTTCCCTCCAGAACGTCCCTGTTCTGGGAACGTCCCTCAGAGACCTCCCCACCATGGCTGCCTGGGGTCTGGACCCCTCCTTGCAGAGTCCGAACGGGTGTGATTCTCCTTCAGGTCTGTGTCCCCTTGCTTTGCCCAGGCAGTGAGTGGTGGGAGGTGGGTGGGCTGGACTGTGTCCCCTCAAAGACGTCACAAGGTCCTGACCACCCACCCCCACCTCCGCCCCGGGCACCTGGGAATGCAGCCTTATTGGGAACAGGGTCTCTGTAGGGGTGGTCAAGATGGGTCATCCTAGGTCAGGGTGGCCCTGTCCTTAGAAGAGAAAGGAGAGACAGACCTGGAGGAGATGCCATGTGAAGGTGGGGGCAGACTGGCCACTGCGGTCACCTCCCTGCACCCCTGTCGTCCCCTCCCCAGTCCGTCCTCCCCACAGCCTCCAGGGCAGGGGTGCTACCTGGAGCCCTCACTCACCCAACCCGGGGCTTCACCTCAGCCTCCTCTGGCTGGAGCCCTGCTCCCCAGACAGCCACAGACAGCTCTTCCCTGCCCATGTGCTGGCTGACCAGCGGCACCTCTGACCACTGGGTCCTTTGACCACCTTGACCCGGGTCCCTGGCACTTTCTGTTAACATCTCCTGGCCCTGCTTTATCCAGCTTTATTTTAAATTTCATCATGAAGTGGACATACGTATAAAAGCGTGTATTTACATACATTCATAAAGCATGTATGTTTTTATAGCATGTGTGCGCATGTACACAAGACACGCAACAGCATATGAGAGGGAACATCGCCGCCCTGAGGACCCCTGTGCTCCCACCGCTCTGCAGTGGCTCCCCACGCGGACAGGCCGCCAGCCTCCATCACAGACAGTGGTTTTGCCCGGGTGACCTCAGACTCCACAGTCACGTGTCCCCACCTCTGTCCTCCACCCATTTCATGTGGCGCCCCCTGGGGCCCTGACACTGCACCTGCAGAGCTGGGGGGAACTAAGCCAGAGCGAGGTCAGGGACGCCCGAGCCCAGGGTCCCCCAGGGGACCTCCACGGACTGCACTCTGGGGGTCTCTGGAGTCATAACCCCTGCTGGCAGCCTGGGAGACACAGCCCCCATGCCCCTGCCTCCCTGCAGAGGTGCCCGAAGTGGATGGCTGGCCAGGGAGGGGCCCCGGCCCTAAGGGGTGCAGCCCAAGTAACGCGGATATTCATCCCAGACAAGTCCTGGCTCTGTTGGCCTCCGAGGGTGGCGCTGGCTGAGACCCGCAGAACGCCCCTCCCTCCCCAGCCCTAGGGCTGTTTTTCTTTCATCAGCTGGAGAAAAGGATGGTGGAAAGGAAGACAGTGGAATATTTTGCAGGGACTGAAAAGGCATTGTGACCATGTGTTTCTTTGATGGCCGTGGGGAGCCCGGCCCCAGAGTCCTCTCCCTCTGGCCTTCGAGGTGGAGGTGGAGGGGGCTGCCTTTGAGCCAGTGAGGGTCTGCAGCAGTTGGAGGAGGGCAAGCCCCATCCAGGCAGGAAGCCTGTGTGAGCCAAGCACTGGGGACTGGAAGGGGGCCTGAGACACACACACATGTGCACACACACACGTGGAGGAGAGAGAGAAGATGCCGGAGCCTGTGCAGTGCATGTAGCTGGTGCTCACAGGTGTGTGCAGGAATGACTCTGGCTGACTCTGAGCCCCTGGGGTGTGCTGAGCCTGACTGCTGGTTAGGGCTCTCCCCTCACACTGGTCTGATGGCAGCAGCCCCTGTCTCTCTTCCTCCATCTTTAATTCCCCTCCCACCAATTTGTTTCTTTAAAGCTTGTAATTCTGCCCCAGCTAGGACTAAAAGGGGCACAGGAAAAATGGTGCCTACACCACAGGTTGTCAGGACAGAAGCCAAAATCTGTTGGGAGGGCCAAATTAAGCTCTGAGCTACCTGGGCGCCAAGCTAAAAGGGAACAGGACGCGGCGAGCTTGTCTCTCCCATTCTCTTACTGGGGCGGGGGGCGGCGTGGGTGCGGCGCATGCGCGGTAACAGTCTTCCTGCAGCCCTACGGACCAGTCCCCACCTCCCAGCACTGTGCTGAGACAAAAGGAGATGCCAGGTGTCCCAGGCCTGGTGCAGTGTTTGCTCAGTGGCTGTGAATTCCCTCCTCTGTGTTACAGGTGAGGACGCTGAGGCTCAGAAGCTACTAATTAATACCTGGCTTTCGAGATCACGGCACAGCCAGTGAGAGCAGGAGGCTGGTGCTGACATTGGTGGCCAGGACTTATCCTCCTCGCTCCCTTCTTAGGGAGGGGAAGCCCCGTCCAGGTGCTGCCCGTGTCTGACTGTGTGCCCGGCCGAGGTCTCCGAGCTGCTGTGGGCCTGGAGGGGCAAGTCATCCAGGCCAGTCCCTCCCCAGAGCATGAGGGGCGCTCTGGGGCTGTGGGCACAGGGCCCGGTCACACGTGGTCCTGCCCTCCCAGCCCACTGGGGGCTTTTCCTCTCATGAGGGGGGACCCTTGGAGACCCAGCTTGTTAGAAGCTCTTGAGTGGAGAGAGTGTAGGGTAGGGAAGGCCAGGGCAGTGCACACCTTGCTGCAGGAAGGTGGTCTTCCTGGGGGCGGCCATGACCTGGGTGACCCTGGCCTGGGGTGACCCTGACCTGCGATGACCCTGACCTGGAGGTGACCCTGACCTGAGCCGACTCTGACCTGGGGTGACCCTGCCCTGGGGATGACTCTCACTTGGAGTGACCCTGCCCTGGACCGCTGCTCTGGGGTGAGGGATCAGAGCCTCGGGGGTTGAACGATGCAATTGCCATGGGCTCCAGTCCAGTGGACAGAAGAGGAAGGGGAGACAGTGTGTCTGCCTCATCGCCTGCCCAGCTAGCATGTCCCCATGGTCCCCTCTCTGTCTCCTGGGCAGTGGGAGGGAGCCCAGTACATGCACTAAGAAGCCAGACACTGCCCTTGACCTCTGGGCTCTGTAGCCTCCTCTGTGTGGGACCACCCTGGCCATTATCTGTAGGGGAAGATGGTGTGAGTGGCAGCCCAAGGCAGGTCAACCCCAGAGAGAGGGGTCCTGGCCCCACTCACAAGCTGGGGGCCCAGGTCAGTCAGCCCCCTCTTGGGAGAGTGGGACCAAGGCATTATGGTGTCATGGTGAGAGCACATGCACCACCACTTCTTTGCTATGTGACTTCAGGCAACTGACTTAACCTCTCTGAGCCTCATTCACCCACCTGTAAATGGGTCATCCCTACCTCCCACGGTCTGTGGGGTTACATCAGACACTGTGTGGAAACCAGTGAGCTGGTTCTATGCCTCAGTGGCTGAGAGCTATTATTCCATTATCATTATTTTTATATTAGTTAATC